CCCCAAAACCCCAAAACCCCAAAACCCCTTAACCAGAAAATTTATGAAATAAAGAGGTACATTGTAATTTTATATAATGTTTAGCGATAATTCTATCAATTTCTTCAAATATTTTATTTAATACTATTTATACTATATTTCATTTTCATTCTACTTAAGCAATCATATGATTTGTAGAATACTATCTTGATTAGCTTTTTTCTTGTTCTTAGCCTATTACTTAAGGTACCAGTTTCTCTCGATCTTAGCAGCCTCTCTACTAGGATCATTGACTCCGTCTTTGAAATCCTGAAGTACTTCATTGGCGTTATCTCTCTACTCCTTCAACGTGCTTAATTTGTAATTGTAAAGAGGCTTTAAATCTCCTGCCTCTGTGAAGTCTATTTCTCGCAGTATATTTGAAGTTTAGATGAATTGCTATTAGTAGAAATTCTCAGTGGTTCGTTTTAAATCATGATAGTTAATAACTTTCTTTATCTCACTGTGATTGATCATATCTCCACATTAGGCAACTAAGTTTGATGCTTTCACCTTTTATTCTTAATTACGATCGAAATCATTTTTATCAATGATAATAGGATACGCTCGTAATCTCTCTTAAACATCTTTGCTTCTTAAGTAAGGAGTGGGAGATAAAAATGATTGATTAAACCTCTCTTTAGAAGAGACAGTTTTGTTCATCAATAACTCGATGTTAGAATTGTTATTCATATAAGTAGTTTTGTTCACTGTCTGATAATATAGGCTAGGATTACCACCATTACCCTCCAGATTAGGTAATTGGCTATTGATTTATACTGATTTCTTAGAAGCAAAATGATTATTCCTCGTCGAATTAATAGTTGTAGAAAAATTTGCCTTAGATAATATCTAACTTATAATGTTCTTTCTAGTAGTTATAAATGCTGTCGATTTTTTAGAAGGTGTCTAGCTTAAGCTTTCAAGCGTTAGGCTGGATGGATTCCTAAGACTATCAATTATTGTTCTAGACTTACGATGCTAAATACTTAATATGCTTTTTTGAGTTTACTAATGGCCTGGAGTGATGTCAGCTTAGGAATTATTGATTGACAAGCTGTTTAGATTTTGAGTATTATTAGCCTGCTTCAGATTGATTCTTGTCATTTTCATTACTGATCGATTTGCATTATTCTTAAAGTTTTGATAGTAAGCATTTTTGTTGCTTAAAAAACTTCTTTAACTTACATCTCCATTTATTAGTGTTTGGCGTAAATTTATGTCAGATATGTTTAGATGGTCGAATATGTTACTCTATTCATTTTAAGTTTATAGCTGTATTTCGCTTTGCATGTTTATAAACTCTTTATTTATCACATCATCACCCAACCGCTCAATTTTACTTTCTTTTCTGTCGCTCCCATTTTGTAATTCACTTTCTCTGTTATTGATATTTAGCTAAGGCCCACTGTTTTGATTAAAATCAGATTCAAATTCACTTTCATTCTCTTCATCAATCGCCTCTTAATTTAACTATTGCTACTTTTACTGTATCTCCTATTCCCTCCTCCTCAGAATATCTTGCCTGAGTTATTCCTTTCTCATTTCTTGCCTTATTTTATCCTAATCTCTTTCTTGCTGTTAGGCCAATATTTTTTGAATGATAGTCTACTTTTCCCTATCAAGCAACTCCTATCTTTCCTTGAACTTGATAAAAGTACTCTTCCAACCAAGTTTCTTATAAGTTCCGAAACCGTTTGTAGTAGTCGATAACTTTTTCAAGTCCTTAATCAATCCCTCCTCCATTTTACTACCTGGGACTATGTAAACATCTCTCTGCAAAGAACTTGAAACTGCAACCTAATTCTCTAATTATTTATTATTAGATCTGATTGTTGAGATACTTCTGAATTAGTTCTTAGGCGGCTTATAGCCAATAGGCAGTGTAATATCATTTTTGAGGATTTCATGAACTACATCCGAATCAGTGTTGAACCTGCCTGGGCTTTTGTCATATAATGTACCGAGCTTAGCTTGATTTTCAAAAGACTTGTCCCTAGTATGTTTGAATATCTCTTCAGCCAGGTCCATTTAACTCTTGTCCTAGTCTCTGTATCTTTTTTCAGGTATTATCTTCATGTATTGCTTATTTTCCTTGGGTAACTCTACTAGTTCTGGATTCTAAGTCTAATTTATAAGCTTTTTGAGGTTTTTCCTTCGCTCCTTTGACTATTATTTGTATTCTCTGCCAACTTCAGCCATTATAAAGTAATATATTAATTTTGATGCTCAATAATCTAATTAGTTCAGTAATTTTGTAATGAAATTTCTACACCTTTTCTTAATGAATTTTACTTAGGGGTTTTGGGGTTTTGGGGTTTTGGGG